TACCATAATCCTCACCCGTTCTATCAGCACCGAAGCTTCTTAAACGTTCCGCAGAAATGCCCCCTTTTCTTCTATACTACCCCATTTGGCACCTCTGGGCCCATTCCCCAGGCTACCTGCTAATTTTAACACTCATAAGGTGCACGCGCACACCGACGCCCTGGGTGTTAAGGTATTTTGGAGAAAGCCGAGCAATTCATCTTCTGTATAATTTAAGCGGTACCCGATAGTGGGCCAGTCAGATTGGGACATACCGGGAATCCAATAGAGGTCACCTTGGTGAACCATTGGATGGGACTCAGGTGACAGGCAGTTTAGTGTTTGTGTAGACGAGACGAGTGCAACAATCAAATCTTTTCTTGTTGACACAAGATTACGAAACTTGGAGCCTCCATAATATATATATTTTTTTAATCAGTTCTGTAGATTTATTGAGGAAGTTGTTTTTTTTAAATTGACCAATCAGTTTAACGAGTATATATTTTAGAAGATCAAAGAAACTTAATTATCATAATTGGCACAAGAACTTTCTCTATCTCTCTTCGTTCCTTTCCTTTCCAACAAGATTACTTTACATATGATTTATCTTTTAGCATAATTCATATAATAATTCAAGAAAAAAAAAAAACATTATACAAAATATTACATAAATAAAAATTCATTTTACAATGTAAAACTTACTTTCTACATTGTATAATTAATGTATAAAATATTTAATTTAGCATCACATGACTCTCTCTATCTCTCTCAACTCAAAGTTTAGACTAAACAAATTATTGTATCTGTAATTAAATTTAAGAGGAAAGTATCGCGAATATGTTTATTTGTTAATGTAGGTTATTTTCTATCTACAAAGGGGTCAAAAGACTGATTGTAGACCTCTAGACCTTTATAAAATAAATAAATACTTATATAATGTATGAATTTCCACTTATTGCAATAGCTATAAAGGAGAAAAAAACGAGTTTTTTTTAATAGAATTTTTAATTTTAGGACTAAAATAATAATAAATAAGAATTTTTATTTACTTTAGCAATTTATAAATCAATTAAATTAAATTTATGAGTAATGAAACAGATTAAAGAACAGTGTAGACATAACTACAATAATTTGAAAAGTACACAATGTTCTTCAATAATTTTAATTAAAATGATTATTTTTAATTAAATACAAATGAAACTAGGTCTTAAAATAAATATTTAATACTTAATAACTTTTAAATATTGAAAATTATTGATTTAAAAAGATGTATTCGTGAACAAAAAGTAAAAGATAATAATGGAAGAATAAGTGCGAAAAGTTATGATATTTATTAAAAATATATATAAAATTTTGTACTAGAGTCCGTAAGAAAAAAATCATGTTAAATATTTATACAGATTTTCTATTTNGGCGATGACACTTAGAGAATTAGTTTTGGGCGTTTCGCCTCATTATCCATTAACAAAAATTGCAATGAGTGTAAGTTATCCTAATTTGTACTCGTAATAAAACAAGAATAAAATGATTAAATTTAATAAAATAACTCAAAATTATAATTGGAAATTTGGCAATTTTCATAGAGAATAATCTCATAAAATTTGGAGCTGTTAGATTTTACAAACACTAAAAGTAATACAGAAACATTAACTAAAAAGTTCGCAAATTCTAAGATGTTTGCATATAAAACCCTATAAAAGTTTTTGTATTTTTTACATTTTACAAATTTCAGGAAATAAATTTTAGAAAGAGAAAAAAAAGGCAGTAATTAAACATAATAAAAGTTAAATATTCGAAAGAAGAATTTTAAAAATCGATTAAACAAATATTTCATTTAATCCTGAGCACCTGTCGGATTTGTCTATTCATCAGCAACCTGTCGCTCGTTTCTTATATCAGAAAGACCGACCTGTCATCCTAGACAGACATCACTAATTAAGTAATGGTTAACACAGAAAAAAATTCTGTACTAGAAAAATAACGGTCACAGAAGATGTGATTCAACCTGCGTGAAAGGACCAGATACAAGGAATTTTGTTAGTCTAGCGTATAATGTCATTTCCTTGGAAAAATCACCCCTCTGTTGCTCCCCTATGCTGTTGACAGCTTGATATTCTTTTAGAAGTAACCCAGCAATGCGAACTAGAGCTAGCAAATATCATAAAATTCTTGTCCAAAAATATTTCTCACTATCATATCGAATGAACTATGTCAAAGATGGTTCATCCTGACTTCCCTGACAAGTTGCCGACATTTTAGAAGATTTATAACTTAGAAAATTTATTTTACCTAGTAAAATTATTATAGAATTTGTTAGAATTTATTTTATAACATTATAAAGTTATTAGAAATTCTTTTGCTTCAACGTAAAGCGTTTTAAATTATGTTCATTTGGATACAATCCAAATTAACATAACGTTGTTGGGATCAGGAAAGGCTTGTAAATTTGCTTATATTTCTTGTAAAAGTTGTATTATCTTTTTCTAATTGCGTTTTTTTTTTTCTTTGCTTTTCACTCCTAAAACTTTGATAATTTAATCATTTCTGCAATTTTTAAAATTTGTAACTGTAAGAAAACTTGTGCAAAGTTCTTCAAGAATCAAGTTCACACAAGTTTGCACTCCTTAGATTTTTTGTAAAATCTAAGGAGTGCAAAGTTGTAAAATTTACACTCCTTGTTTTGTAGGAGCCATTAAATATAACAAGTACATCGATCCTCTTCAAACAGTACGTCGAGCGACGGGGTGACCTTAAAACCAGAGTCAGACGTGACTTTCGGAGGAATATTTTTGAATGATCATGTCCAATTATCAAATTGTGAAAGGTGAATTGGTACGAGCGACATTTGGAACGAACGAGGCCATGCAGGGAACGTGGAGGCATGCACCTGTCAGGGGCCGAACGAAGGTTAATGTCTCCACCAGCGGCGGTGGTCCACATAACTTAGCGGTACCCCCGGTGTCAAGCTCACCCAGCTTCGCTGTCATCGTCACCGTGGTTTGACGTAACGTGACCCCGTATCTTTGCGGTAATACACTGACATCTCACTTACACTCGGATCCTCCCACGCTCCGGGACACGTACCATAATCCTCACCCGTTCTATCAGCACCGAAGCTTCTTAAACGTTCCGCAGAAATGCCCCCTTTTCTTCTATACTACCCCATTTGGCACCTCTGGGCCCATTCCCCAGGCTACCTGCTAATTTTAACACTCATAAGGTGCACGCGCACACCGACGCCCTGGGTGTTAAGGTATTTTGGAGAAAGCCGAGCAATTCATCTTCTGTATAATTTAAGCGGTACCCGATAGTGGGCCAGTCAGATTGGGACATACCGGGAATCCAATAGAGGTCACCTTGGTGAACCATTGGATGGGACTCAGGTGACAGGCAGTTTAGTGTTTGTGTAGACGAGACGAGTGCAACAATCAAATCTTTTCTTGTTGACACAAGATTACGAAACTTGGAGCCTCCACTCGTTTCGATAGCGCGTGAGAAAAGGGTGCTCGTCTATTATTTTACATCTTATCTGCTGTAAATAAGTACGGTTCGATCGTTTTACAGCAACAGGTAAGATATTTTATTAGTTTAAAGTTACATTCTGGTTTTATCGAGTGAAGGTAGAGGTGATAGACATCCAAAATTTCTGGAATGTCAGCCAGCCCTTCGACCCTCCCGGCAAAAAAGACCAACCCAGACTAGTCCAGTTTCTAGAGATAACTGTCAGCATATTGTCCTGTACATTATGAGATATTATTTTTCATTTCTTTATCCGCTTTTCTTACATCCGAAATTATTTGCACTTATTTTATACGTTTCGATTGTAAAATTACTGCTAAAATTTAATACTTTTTAATAAATTAAATCCAAAACTGATCAAATTTGTAAATAATTTTAAAAATTACTTTATTTATTTTTTATTCGCAAAATTGTTTAAGTATTTTGTAATTTCTCAGAATGAAATTTAAAATATAAACAAAACAATTTTTTAGAGTCATTGCATTAAGTAACATTACAATTAATGCATTTTATACGTACAAATCATCTATAGTTTAAGGTATTATTGCACATTTTACAATTATTTTTAGTATAATTTTAAAATATTACTTGTAATCGATAGCTAAAATATATTGTTATAGTAATACTTTATGTAGATATAATAAATTAACGTTATTTCTGTAGTGTTTCTGTGTGCCAATTCCTCGTGCTATTCAAGTTTAATCCCTTAAAAATCCTTAAAATATACCCTAGAATGCTAGAACGCTTTGTAAAAGTTAACATGCCAAGTCTGTGATCGAGATAATTCTTGTAATAGAAAAACTTGATCAATCACTTGACAAAAGTTGACATTTTTAAGAAAGGCTCTTGTTTAAAGTAATTACACGAAAATGCTTGACGTCACACAGATGAAATCGAACCCTCCAGAAGATTCGAAATGAAAATTGTTTGAACGTCATCGAATAAGAGTGTATTGTTCGACAACTAATAACAATAAACAGATAATATATTGTTTAAATTTTGAATAAAATAGTATTGTGACGTCGTTTGACGTCATAAGTAGTAAGTTTTTGAGGTTTCGTCGAATCAATAGTGAAAGAACATTTGTTTTTATTATTGTTCCTTGTTCAGAAACAAAAAATTAACATATATAGAGTTTTCTTTGTAAATTTCTGTCAAGTATTCGTCAAGTAATGAATAAAGAATTAGTATTTTATAACTGATAAATGTGGCATTTTTTATATGATTTTAAGTGCTTTTTTTTACATCACAGTAAATTGTGAGTATAAAGAAAGGAAAAATTTAAATTTTATTTGCTATAAATGCAGAAGAAATTAGTGTATGTGAAGAATGTATAAAGAAAATACAGTAAATAAAGCAACAGAATTGCAAGAATGTGTACAGTAGATGTACAAAGTAAAGCGAGCAATGCAAAGAATCTGTTAAGTAGTAAGGAAGTGAAAACAGAGAATAATGATACAGAGAGTTGGTACAAAGATGTATACAGTGAGTGATGTAATAACAAGAAGAATATAAAGCATCCAAAGTAAGGAGTAGAGCTTTGCTTTACGTCATCCTAAAAGTAAACGTTTAGGGGGTGCGAATACGATCTTCTAACGTTTAAATCCGTGTGTTGTTGCATTGTATCGATCAGATAGACGTCCCATAGACAGAAAAACATCTGTCGACACATTGTCCTACTTGGGAAACAGGTACGTCATCAAAGAAGCCGACATTCAGGACGACAGTCTTGTCTCCTCTAAGCCCTCTTCTCATTGGACGTTGGCTTCACGTGACGAGCACATAAAGCCGTCTCCAGACTGTTGTGTTCATTGAGAACACATAACATCCGGGCCTCTCAACTTCCATCCCGTCTCAACACACGTGCTTCGAAATTCGGGACTGTGCAGGTGAGAATCATCTGGTGGGAACTTCCGGCGTCTGGCTGAATACCTGTTGTAAGAACTGTGTTACCGGTAAGGTCCTCTCGTTCTTAAGTAATTAATAATACCGAATTGAAATTGCTCACTCCATGAATTATTCAAGATGTTGCCTCAGGTGACGAGAAGTCACTTCTCGTTCGGGATGTAAGGGCGCTTGCAATTCTATAACTTTTGTGTGAAAGGATTTTTTTCAATTTATTTCAAATATTCTTTCTTGCACAGGTTTTTCTTACAATAGAATCATTTTGTATGAATTTTTTTTTATTAATTTTATGACATTTTTTTAAAAAATTCTTATAGCGCTTTTGCGTTTTATAAATATTTTATAAGATTGCTAATCTTGGAATGAATTAAGAGCTTCAAATTCTTGCTAAAGGTAACACCCTTATTAAGTGCAAATTCTTTATTCGAATTGTTAATTATATAAGAATTATTTACACTTTAACTATTGAATTTTTAAGATTAATTATGTAGAATATTTATGCATTTATCGCTCGATACTTACATAATTGACGCTTAAGGTAAAACACTCCATTTTTATTACTTTTTTGAACTTTATAAAATGTCAAAAAATCCCTCTTTTGGTCTGGAAAATATTACTTTCCTGTCATTAAAATTTAATTTTTTACATTTTTTGGTTAATGTTTTCGGAATTCTTTCACCTTCACTCGACTAGGCGGAGAGTAAATACATTTTGAATGAGTCGGGCGTAGCCAAGCTACTGACGGAGACTGAAGGTCAAAGGTCCTACTGTTGGTACAGAGGACCGTGAGAACAGAAATTGAAATGAAAAATTTGATCCGCATTTTTGTATAACAGTTCCGAAAGCATCATGTTAGAAACAAATTAATCAATATGGCAGCCTTTTTTTTCTTCTTCTTCTTCCTCCTCCCTAAGCATCTTCACATAAAAATTTATTTATTTACATAAAATGATGTGTGATAAACATTCCCTCGTGTCAGTTTATAAAATTATAATTCATTCGAGCTTGATAGATATCTCTTAATAGTATTTTTTTTTTCTTTTTTTTCGGATAAAGCCAGCGACTTATGCTGTTTTTTTCCATTATTTCTAAAAAAGCAATCGAAGCAGGTAGGGCGACAAATCGTTTTTTTTTTTTATTTTTTGTCCTCTTTATGCATTTCCACTAAGTAGTGGGTGGTTCTGACACACTAAGTGATCGAGGAACTTTCATCTCCCGCTCTGTGTGGGGTATGCTTCATCAAATTTATGTGGAATCCCTACATAGTGTGCCAATGACAGAATTGCATAAAACTAAAATTGCAAAAAAGAAAAAAAAAATCAACAGCAGAATTTATTCTTATTCTTACATAAATTCATTTACTTTATTTCTAGAAAATTTAACTTAAAATTGCTTTAAAATTCTTCCTTTTTTAAACAATTTAACGATTTATTAATAAAAAATTTCTATATTTTTTAAAGAATAGACTGAAAATTATTTTATTATAATTAAATCTATTAAAACTATTACAATGTTTTTAATCCTGTTTAAAAATTCGCATTTAAATTATACAATAATCTGTTGGAATGATTAACGATATAAACTATAAAATACATTAATGGCTAATTCGGTTCATAAACGTTAAATTTACGACTAGAAAAGGGCAGGTTTTAAAAATTTGAAAGGTGTAAGTCGCCATGTTTGGTCGAGAAATGCAAACTTGTGTTTTGTATTTTTTGAAGATTCCAACAACTTGTAATAGAAAACTGCAGCAAGTAATGTAAAAGTTTGACTTACAATAAGCGGAAGAGCACAATGAAAAGGGTGGGTATATTTAGATCTGCAGGAAGGGGAGACAACTCTGTTTCGGGAAGAGCACAATTATTCCTTCCCGATTTACTATTCCTTTCTTATGTTCCATAATAGACTCATCCTTTCTGGTCTAAGTTTATAGTTCATATATCTTTCTCTCCCTCGTCGACTGCATCAATCTCTTTGTAGCACAGAACTATGTCCTAAGATTGTTTTACAGGCCATTGACACGAATTCTGTACCTTCAAAGCATTTCACACTGCCGCTGTCAAATAGAATGACATAAGAAGAAACTATTTTACATCCACTTTCTATTAGAAATTCCAAAATTTTATCCTTTCTTCGTTCAGCGTACACCAAAAAAAAAAAACAAAAAATATTATTCTTATGGTTCATTAAGTGCAATAATATTCCCTTCACGTCATGCAATAGCTAAATGCACATTTAATACCGAAAATAATTGAGATTTCCCATTTTTCCTCAATAGAAAAGTTAACTTTGCTTTCAAATAATTTAGTTCTTAATGGATTTTTATGGAAGTCTCTTCGACTATAAAAATCTGGATGTTTGGGTTTTCCGGATGATGTCAAAACTTAAATTTTAACCATGACCTATTGGAAATGTATGGCATTCTCGCTTAGACAGATTTATGGATTGTTTAGATGCCGAATGCAAGCAAGATGAAAGGTTAAAATGCAAAAAAAAAAAGAAAAAAAGAAATACACTACAAAGATCTGAAGCTGTTCTTAGATGTTCCTTGGACGAAAATAGACACCTTTCTGAGTAATTCCACAATCTTTTTGCATGATTTTACATTTGTTTATTCTTTAGATTTTTTACAGATTTGTTTTAAATCTCACGTCTTAGCTATTTTAATTTTTTACAATTTTTTTTTATATTATTCGTTACGCTTATTCTAATGAATATTTTCCAGAATTTCTTTCTTCATATTTCGTGTCATTTATAAAAACAATTAAATGGAAAAGTTTAAAAAAATATCAAAAAGATTAAAATAAAATATTATTTTATTTATTTATGTATTTTCTTCTTATGATTTAAAATGAATAAAATAAGAGTTTTTTTTTAAAAAAAAAACTATAAAATGTTTTATATAAGTTTTTAAAAACACTTTAGAAACTTTTTAGAAATTTGTAATTTATTTTATAATTTTTTTATCAGTTTAAATAATTTTATAACTAAAATATTTTCGATTTCTTTTTTCTTTTTAGGTCTAATTTTCAAAATGTCCGTCTCCGTTCTCGTATTAAGTATATTTATTTTCAATACGGGATTTGCAGAAGAATTTTTCGAGCTAAGAAACAGAAAAGACAATGTCCAATATCGAGTTATTCACGACAGAAATATCGTAACTTCTACGGAAAAAGCTCAGGTGAAATTTTTATATTTAATTAATTTGTTTATAAATTTTATCAATTTATATATAAAATAACTGTAGAGAAACTCTTAAAATTTATAAAATTAGATGTTCTAAATCATCAAGTACGTGGAGAATGTCATAGACATCATTATTTTTCTAAGAATTATATGAAAAGTCTGGTTTCATTATCAAAATTCAGAGCTGTAGAAAATATATTCTGGATAATGACCTTCCATTATTCTTTTAATATTCACAATTTCTGAAGAACTTTTATAACTGGATAGACGAGATATACAATAGGGAGACGATAATTAATAAATCAGTTTCGATAACAAAAGCAAGCTTTGTTTCTCTGACAACGTTGAATCTCCCCCTCTTCCATTAAGCGAAACGATTTTCCCGCATCAATCGCTCGATACTTTGAGAAGAGATGCTTTACTTTCTGATGGAAACGGTTATTTCTAACTGTTGAGTCAGTCAAAACTTCACACTAAAAGAGATTAAATCTTGCTTGCTTATCGATGAGTGTTATTCATCTTCTATTACCAACAACACTTTGTATTGATTGATTGAAATTAAAGGACATATTGCAATAAGTTTCACTTCAAATTTGAGAATTCTTTACTTTTCCAATAGCTTCCAGAAAGTGTAAGAAGACTCTAATCTTGATAACTAGCAGCGGGTCGACTTACTTTTCTGTAAACAAACTCATTCTGTAAGATTACCAATTGCTTTTTCAAAACTTCTAGAGGCGACCTTCTGTCTACTAACATTACTCAGTTTTGATTCTGTCAGTGGGTGGGAGAAGTACTTAATTCCTGGAAAATGGATCTTTATTTATATATTGAATTGCTTTATTTATTGATTAAATACCACCACTTATTTTCTCTTCATTTCTTAAAGTTTGTTGCACTTTAAAAGTTCCAAAATTTTCATTTTTTTTTAAATTTTTTTCTACAGGAAATACTTATTCGTTACGGTTACCTACGTTGTAGCTTAAAAAGGAGAAGAGGACCATTGTCTCTAGCAAATAGCATTTTAAATAAGGAAACAGGTCCTCCTCGATCCTGTACACAGGAAGATATACAAGAAGCAATAAGACAATATCAGAGAACTTACAATATGCCACCCACAGGAAGGTTAGATCAACCCACTTTAAGGTTAATGAGCGAATCTAGATGCGGAAATCCCGATGACGAAGATGCTGTTTCGTTTCAACCAATGATTAATCTAAGAAAAAAACGTAAATATTTTCGTTTTTTGTTCTAAAAATAATGTTTTCTGTAGAAGCACTTGTCGGAAACTGTCGTGTGATGTATTTTTAGCAGGTTGGAGGAAAAACAGAAACGATATACAACAGAGGCGAGGGAAAAGACAGGCGATGACACTTAGAGAATTAGTTTTGGGCGTTTCGCCTACACCTGGTATAGAAGCTTATACACCACCTGCACCCGGTACCACACTATCCAGACGTAGGAGGTGGCTAGAAAATTATGTAAGAAACATCGAAAATGGGGAATTTGATAAAAGACTCGAGTTAATTTATGAAAACTTACAAGAAAGAAGAAGAAAGAAGAGATCCGTTTCTGACGGACAAGCATTCCCTTCGGTAATGTATGAGATCTATAACATGATCAGAGACAGTCCGGTGAAATCGTACCATTCTACTAAATTGCAAGAGATTGCTACGTCCTATCACTGATTTTATTGGTTAGGCGTCTTTCTGGCGTATCCGAGATCGATTTCTCATTGATCCTTATTACGATATGGTCGGTTTCACTTTATAGCAATTGGACTTATACCAAAAAATTCATTTCAAATATTAAGAAATTTTTATTCTTTGCAAAGAAAAAATATTTTTTTAAATGATAAATATTTAAATTCATTGTGACATGAATTCTAATAGTAGAAAGATTTAATTAAAACGATTTACATCCGAACACGAATTGAAATTTTTTAGATATTTTAACATATGTTACACATATACACATAATAATTGTAATTACGTTAATTTTATTGCACTTTTAACACAGATCTGAAAGCATTTTTAAAGTCGTGATATATGGCTGCCTCTGATCAGATAGGATATTTTTATCTTAGCAAATAATAGCGTTTTAACCTCTTCTTTATCATCCAGGATGTTGTAACTTGGCGACTCATCGGTTCTGCCTACAGTAACCAGCTGACTGCAAACACTCAAAGAGCAGCTCTGGCTTTAGCGTTTAGAATGTGGGGTGAAGTTATTCCTCTTATCTTTCAAGAAGACACACGAGCACCAGTAGATGATGTAGATATTCTGATTGCATTTGGAAGAGGTAAGTTACCGTTAAGAGAATATACTTCGCGTTTCTTAAAATTTTTATTTATCCATCATCTGTAACTAGTTCTGACTCGTGAACACGCTTGAAAATATAAACACATCCAGGGAATGTGTAATGATGTCTCTTAGATAAATTATATCAGAGTTCCGCCATCTCTCCCACATGAGACAACGTTTAGTGATGACACGTGCATCACATTCACTTTCTGTCCTCCCTATTTATAGTGAAAGAGTGGTAGGAACCAGTCTAGCAGGACATACAAGTGTTTACAGGACACGAGACTCTTCACGTATCTCCAAAGTCTTATTTCTGTCACATAAAAGACAAGTGGTTAAACAGACCGTCTGGCGCGTGTAGAATATCTTCAAAAGAGTTCTCTATGAATAAAAAAAACCGGTTTTAAAAATATATAAACAATTTTTATCTTAATATTTCTTTTTATAGGAGAACATCTAAACTGCTTGAATCATTTCGATGGTTTTGGTGGTCAATTATCTCATGCTATAAAGATGGCTGCCAATGCTGAGATACACGTTGATGATGACGAATATTTAACAGTAGGCTCGAATCACGGTACTAATTTAGTTAAAGTTGCTGTTCATGAAGTTGGTCACGCTCTTGGATTACTTCATACATATCGAAATTATTCTATTATGTATGCAATTTACTCCAAAGTGATTCCAAACAATAATTTCGAATTAGGTTGGGAAGATAGAAAATTAGTACAGAAAATTTATGGTAAGTTATACGAGTATATTCACTTATCTCTTCAGTAAATCCATAAATTTCAATTTCAAAATCAAGATCCTTGTTTGAAAGATATTTCTGAATGTTTTATGCCATTACATACAATTATAAGTGAATTATCACTGATTATACAACTTATTTTCTATTTTTTATTTTGAATTTCTTCATGGTTTAGGCGTTTGCACTGGAAGATTCGATACGGTTTTCGATTGGGTACGAAGAAGATCTGATGGTCAACTCATCTATAACACATATTTCTTCCGTAATAATCGTTACTGGATGTACGAAAATAGATATAACAGGACCAGATACGGCGATCCTTTACCCATTATCCCAGAATGGAAAGGTTTACCAAATTCAGTAGATGGCTACGTACATGTCTGGACTTACAATCACGACGCCGCATACTTTTTTAAAGGTACAGTACCAATATCCTCATATAATAATGCTTTTGAAGATTTCAGGATTCATTTATATAAATTATTTTCAGGACATCATTATTGGTTATATAACAGCATCGAAGATAAAGTATCAGATGATTATCCTAAGAATATATCTGATGGTTTTCGTGCCATACCCGGTTCCAATTTCCCAAATATTCCGAATAACATCGATAGCGTTTTCTTTGATAAACGGGATGCAAATTTATATTTTTTCAAAGATAATTTGGTATGTTTTGCTTTCATTAAAAACAATTTATCTATAATTCCTCTGTTATTGATTTTAAAATGTTTTCGTCATTAGGTGTATGCTTACGACGTATCGCGAGGTAACGAAGGTTGTTGTTTACCCGGTTACCCACGTAAAATTCAACAAGAATTTCCAAGTGCACGTTCCGAATCAACTTTACCCGCAAATTTAGATGCAGTATATTATTCTTATACAGATAAATCCATGTACTTTTTTAAAGGATGCTACTATTGGCAAAATATAGGGTTTAAACCATTAGATCGAAGACGTACGAATCGCATCGCAGGACCATGGGAAATTTCCTCAAAGTGGTACGACATCTGTGACGTAGAGATGTGATTTTTTTAACACTTTATATATAAATTTAACAAAGGTTTTTTTATGTTAAAAAATCGGCTTTTGTAATATAGAAGTATTTTAAGTGAATTAGACTCGATTCATGCTTAAATTTGCCATCCGTCCGGATTTTTTTTTCTTTTTTTTTTCTTTAAATTATATCGAATTTCAAGAACTCAAAACGTCGAATAGATGTTTATGTTTAAATTTATTTCAAATTATTCCTTAATTATTTTATAGTTTAACTGATATTTACGATATTCCGGAGTGGCAGAAATTGGGAACACTATTTTAAAAATTGACATTTGACAGTGTTTCCTATTCAAAAATGAAAGGAAAGAAAAAAATATATATATTTTAGTGCTAAAATATCTGTGATTTAAAACAATGTCCAATACTTTTTATATATATAAAAAAATTTCGTTTTTTTTATACTCACGAACGACGTTGAGGACATTCCTCAGAAATTTCGTGAAAATTATATAAACTGTAAAATTTATAAAGTCTCAGTGATAATTTATAGCTTGTTTACATGCCATTTATGCATGTGGAATATAGATCTTTGTTTTTAGAAATTTTTTTTTTTATTTTACCAACAAGGTTTGTTTTTCAAACCGAATTGATTTAGTCATAGTACAAATTAAAAAATATATATATTATATATTATTAAAATAAAATGTGATTTATGTTGATAACCGACCAGCAGCTATATCAGCTGTTAAGCTTTGTATAGTTCTATATTTTGTGTGAATTTTTGTGTAAGAATGTTTTTTTCTAAATGCATAAACGGAGCTAGTCCAGCCCCATAATCATGGCTTCATATTGAAGTACTATTAGAAGTCGGTATATACACTTTTATTAATTTCAAAAATATTCTTTCAACGAGGAAAGAACTTAAAAAAAATCATTTCCATTTTTTTTCGGTCGTGACTGTCTGTTCTTAACTAACGCCTTTCGGTGTTTTTAGATTACAGGGGACCACTTGATAATGACTTGAACTGTGTTACTAATTCCTGTTCCCTATCTTTGACATTATTCCCAAGGTTATAGATGAATCTATAAATTGTAATACCCTTCCTTCGCCAACAAAATATTAAAAAATTGACTGAATATTTATAAATCTATAACTAAATTAATATTTTATTTAAATATTCTTTCCTGTAATGTGTCTGGTTTGCTCCAGTCAATTAATCAGATGCACTGGACCATTTAAAAATATAATTTATAGTCATATAAAATCCAATAGGTTAATTTGCAAGCTTTATGGTTCATTTGTATCAAAGTTTGATGATTTTTAAAAAATATTTTCTTATTTTGCAACGAACTCCTTTGAAATATTATTCCACATTGCAATATCCAGGAAACACCTTTAATGCCTTAGATATTTAAATATAAACTTTTAAAAGTAATAAAATTATAAAGTTTTTAATGATTTAATTTAAATATATATATATAGATTTGTTCCTCAAATAACTGCAATGTCGTGTGTATGATGGAGAATGTATGCGATCGAATGACATAGGGCATCATCGAAGCCCCGAATATTATTATAACTTATGTAATGAATGTCAATAAAATTATGTATTTATACTTCTTTTTATGTCGTGTACGTCCACATATTTTTGTATTTCTATAATAAAGCTTTATATAACGAAAAAAGTATATTTTTGTTTTATGACACTACAGGATACATTAATCACTGTACAGCTTTAGAGATATCCCAAGCTATCGCCATATAACAGGTGTTCTATGTTCAACACTGCTCCGAGATGGATGAATAAAGATCGTATTTCTTAATATAAAAAAAAAAAATTATATGTATGAGTTTTTATTCTAGTTATAAATTAAAACCTATATTAATATATATGTATTTTTTCAAATAATATACTATAATATATATATTTTTATATCAAGGAAAACATTTTAAACTGCAGGACAAATTAAATATTTTAAAATAAATTAGGTTAATTATCTCATATATCACATTTTAAAAAAATAAAATATTTAAATCAGTATATGTAAAATTTATTTTATGCTAACGTAATTATTTACTATTTAAAAAATTGCATAAAATACTTAAATTTTATATAAAAATTTCCTTAAATTATTTATTTGATCGTACTGAAAACATTAAGAAAAATTCATTTTCATAAAATAATTATAAAATATTCTTTAATTTGATCTTTAAGTATACCTTTAATTAAAAAGTATTAATTATAAAAATGAGCCTTAATGTTATTATTTTATATACATTTATTTGATGAAAATAAAAATTTTAAATTGTAATTATAAGCGTCGCCATCTAGCGGACAAAAATATTACTATTTATTTAAAAACTTTTTCCAAATACATTTATAATATTTTTGAATAAACTTTTAATTTATTAATTTAAAAAAATTTTTAAATGTTATTATAATATAACAAATAATTTATTTATTTCGTAATTATAATGTATAAAGAGTCATAAAATTGTTTTGAAAATACTTC